CGCGACGCGACGACGGAGATGGCGCGGGGCGGGGAAGGGGGTCACCGGGGCTGCTGGGGCGACACGGGGGCGGGGTGGCGCGGGGCGGCGGCGGCCCCGGCGCGGGCGGAGAGAGAGAGGGGACAGATCTGTGCACGGGCGGGCGGGCGGGCGTCGATGGATTTTAGTCAGGGCACGGTTCTTTGCCGTTTGCTAGCAGACGACAAAGATCCTAGCTAACGGACGTTAGTTTGGCCAGGTTCTTTGCCGTCAGGTAGCGGACGACAAAGAAAGTGTCCATTAGGTGTTACTCGTTAGTGGGCCACCCTGATTATTTGCCGTCCGCTAGCGGACGGCAAACATTCTATGTCATCTGCTAGCGGACGACAAAGGGTTGGCTGACGACAAACATGATCTTTGCCGTCAGCTTCTTTTAAGCTGAGGGCAAAGACCTTCTTTGTCGTTAGCTAGCAGACGGCAAAGATCTAGCTGATGGCAAAGATCCTGATTCTAGTAGTGTAACTAAATTTTTGCTCTAACCTGGCCAACCTAGTTAACCTAGCTACTTAACCTAATGAACCAAATTAACCTAGCTAGTTAACTTAGTTAGTTAACCTAGCTAGTTAACCTACTTAACCTAGCTAATTCCTAGGTTTTATAACTAAATTCACCTAAGTAAATTAACCTAGAGAGGAGGGGTGGGGGCTTACAGAGAGGGTGCTCGGGGGAGATGGTGGCAGGGAAGGCGTCGAGGGTGGCCCCGACAGGTGGCGTCTATGGCGGCTCCGGCGACGGCAAGGGAGGCATGGGCGTCGAGGGAGGCAGGGGCAGCAAGGAGCGGACGAGGGTGGCTCCGGGGGCGTCGAGGGCACGCGGGTCCGGTGGCGGTGACGGCGCAAGGCTCTAGTGGCAGCTCCGGTGATGGCCACAGAGGCAGGGCGGCGAGGGAGCAGAGGCGGCGAGGGAAAGGTAGGAGACGCGAGAACATCTGGAGAATTGAGGGAAGGAGGGACGCTCGCGCAAGGGCAAGTCAAACTTAGCGGTAGCACATTTTCAAAAGACGCGCTATAGCTACTTTAGCTATAGCGTTGTTTGGCAAATGCGCTACTGCTATAGATAAGTTAGCTATAGTGCTTGCCGGCAAAAAGCACTATCGTTGAAGTAGCTATAGCGCTTTCGCAAACAGGCGCTACTGCTATTGCTTTTATTTTTTCTTTTTCTTTAATTTTCCTTTTCTTTTTTCTTTCCTTTTTTCTTTTCTTTTCCTTTTCTTAGTTGGAGCGTTGTCACCTTAAAACGCGCTACTACTACTTCATTAGCAGTAGGGTGGTCTGTGGACGGGCGCTACGTACTACTATATCAAGCCTGGAGGCAACGGAAAAGGAAAGTTCATATTGTCATCAATGATAATATGTCATCAAAAAATACATTGGTCATCAATGATTTTTTTGTGTAGAATCTAAATGTTCAGTATGAATCCTCATAGGTTTAGGAACTGGTGAAGATTCATATTGCCACAGATCCTACACATAGAGTACAATGAAGACCAAGTGGTTGTGATAGTTTGAGAAGTAACATATTTAAGGTGGTAAACACCCTGTTCGCGAAGCGAGGTGGGACTAGACTTAGTTCCTAGGAGGGGACTAAACTTAGCAGCAGCGATGGTTGGAGAAGAGCGCTACTGCTAAGTACAATAGCAGTAGCGCGTTTGCACAAACGGCGCTGCTACTATACCAAGTCTGGCGGCAACGTCGTGACAATTGCAGTAGTAGCGCTCCTTCTTTCTGCCGCGCTACTGCTACGTGGATATCAGTAGCGCTGTTTGGGGCCATGCGCTACTGCTAAGTAGCAGTAGCGCCTTATTTTAAACTGCGTTGCTGGTAAGATTCTGTGTATAAGATTTTCCCTAGCAGTGTGGCGTTCCGAGATAAGAATCTTATATAGTTCTGCTAAAGCTCCAGCAGTGCATCAGCGCAACTGATATGTAGTCAACATAAATAATGTCATATAATTCTTAGAGCAGGGCACTCGACAATCCGACAACAGTTCACAAAACACATCATAGTAGCTAGTGGCAGCTTATGTCCTTCAGATTATGCCCCACCAATTCGATATTAATAACCATCTACTTTGTCGATTTATCCATGTCACAAGTAGGAGGAAAGGCATCTGCTATCACACTATGAAGCTGATCTGAAAAGGAGGACATTTATCTCACATCATATAAGTAACCTTTAGCAAGCTTGTCTATCATGTCAAATGCCTAATTGAGTCTGAGCCTTAGATAACCAAAGTCTCGTTACATTTGTCCGGCCGTGTGTAGTTCAGATCCTTCACCACAGTGTTTGTGGTGTATTCCATGTACCTAATGGCCTCAAAGCGGCAGAATCTTCTGCCATTGCCTCATTGGGAGAGCAAACACAAGTAATCGACATTTGGGTTGGACATCGCTGTTTTGGACAGTGGTGTTGAAAAGAATGGTTACTCGTCGTGTTCTAAGTATCCCCTTTGATGGTAAATGGCCTTTGGAAGCCCAGGCTGGTCTAATAGGAGATCAAGCATCATTCTACCTGGATCCTTACAATGCTCGCCTCTACCTGTGTTATCAAAAATTGCAGAAGAGTCACTTCTAATTGTAGAGCACTAAAGTTGACATAATTCATGGTCTTGCTTATATCCAAGTGTTAATTTTGATGTTTCCAGTTCTGATGTGAGGCAAATGAAAAAGTAAGATTGAATAAGAATAAGTCAAACACAAAGTCGAAGACATGTTTGCTGCACATTGTATAATCGGTGATGTATATCAGGTCATCGCTACCCATCTCATGATGCATTTACTACCGGAGCCCTAGCAAGAGGGAAAGCTCGTCACTATTTGTACTTGCACTTACATAACAAAAGTGAATGTAAAAGTTTTAAATAGAGAAAAATGCAAGAGAGAGTGGGATTACTATAGGCTTAGAGACAACATGCCAACAAATTAATTGACATGCCCTCTTTTGATCCTTGATGCGGCCATAAACAGTGAAAGCCACATGGCATGATATTTTAAAATGAACTGAGCATCCGACAGTTCGTCAACAAATAATTCTTGAGCCAACCAATTTTATGTCATTACTGAAACAACACATGCACCCCAAAATCCAACCAACCATGAAAACTAGAGAAGTAGCAAATGTTTTTTTGTATTTCTCACATGACAAAGATCGCCATCTGATTGTGTCTTGTAATCAATACCCCACCATTGCCTTATGATGCTTATACTACTTAATGGTAAGACCTATTTCCATTGCGCATTAGATAATGCCCTCTTGCATCCAGTGTGATATTTTATCAAAGAAAGATCAAGCATGCAAGCATTACTAGTAAACAAAAAAGTTCATAAAGATATGGTATTCCTTCAAGGAAGTCGTGCACCCGGTTTTTCAAAATATGCAAGTAATAGACATGCAAAAACTGATCACTCAGCAGCAAAACTTTATAGGAAATGAGATTTATGGCTGATTTATTCTACTATACTGGCTGGAGAACTTCACCAAAGGAATATATAACACATGAAACATTGAATACAAGTTAGAATCGAAGAAGGCATCTTAGACTTCATACAGTGTATTTTTTGTAAAGGTATACTTCACATCGATAAGTTTGAGCGGCTACCTAATACTTGGTTAATGTATCCATTTGCAAGCATCTAACAGGTGCTACTGTTCCAGCTTAGAAAGCCAAAAAAATGTTCACCTTTGCTCAAATATAAAGAATGCATACTACGATACATCATTCTGGAATTCAATTAGTCAATCAATATTTATTCTCAATTTGGGACAGAATTACAAATAGGGGGCAGGAAACTAAAAAACTCACCACCAGCTGCTACTGCCAGATTGTCGTTTGCTTCAAAAACCAATTTGTAACAGAATTACAGATAGGGGACAGGAAACTCAAAAAATTCGATACGGCATGCTTGACCCCATAGATGACATAGTTGCTCCCAGACTTGGCATTGCCATTCTTAAATATGATAGTGTTGTCGTTCCTGGATACAACATTGTTCCTTCTAGATCTGACAATGTTGTTGGTCCTAGTTATGACATTTGGGAGATGCTTAAGTTGTTGGTCCTAGTTGATAAATTTGTGTTTTAACTTGGAATTTAACATGTCTATAGAAAGCATCTCTTCGACATATAGTGTATTTTTATAGCATTTTTGGAAACTTCAAAATATAGTATCAACCTGGTTTTCACTGGTTTCTGCGTGGCTGCAACAGCTCTGGAGCTCATATGAATATGCGTGGAGCTGATATGAATATGACGGATAGTGATTGATCGTAATACTTCTACTGGTTTGCCCAAGAAGAATATTGAAGGTATGGACATGCTGCTGCTGCTACCTTGTTTTGGTGTATGGATCAAAGCAAAGTACAAAGCAAACAACACCGCCCAGGTCGCAAGGAATAATCTAATCTAATTAATATATTAGAGATCAGAGCTCAAATAACTAAAACAAACAAACCACTCAAGATCGCGTCTTCTCGATACACAATAAAACTTAGCATACAAACCAAACCATACTATTACAATACATATACTCACTACAACTTATACGAGGCATAGGGCACATCTTGTGTGGCAACTTATGTACCTTATTTATTGAACCATCTCATCGGCCTCGGATACTAGGCATAATCTCTGCCCCCTCCCTCCCCTCTCTTATAAAATCATTAACCTCATGTTACTACTTTGTTATTTCCAGACACAATATGGTTCATCCCAGATACAACATTGTTGCTCCCGGATACGACATTGTTACTCCCCGATACAACATGGTTGATCCCAGATACGCCATTGTTGAACCCAGATACCACACTACTTCTCCCAGTTACGCCATGCCTACTCCCGGATACAACATGCTTGCTCCCAGATACGACATGGTTGTTCCCAGATACCGTGTTCCCATCACCATATATAGCATGGTTGTTCCCAGATACGGTGTTTTCATCCCCAAATATGACTGTGTTGTCATTCCCGGATAAAACATTGTTGCTCCCAGATGTTACAAAGTTGTTGGTCCCTGTGATGACATTTGGGAGCTCGTTAAGTCGCCGTCCGAGTGTGCTTCTGTTATGCTTCACATACGATGGAATGTTAGTGAAAACCATGCCCGGTGAACGCCCATCAGGGGCGAGCCCCTTTAGCAGTGCCAAACTCTTAGGTGCATCGCCAACCAATGAATTGTTTGAGAGATCCAAGTAGCAAAGGTGGTGAAGCTCACCAATCCACGATGGGATGGTGCCCACTAATTGGTTGCCAGACAAATCAAGCACCTCCATTTTCTTGCATTGAGACAACCACTCCGGAACCCTGCCCTTGAGAGCACAATCACCAAGGGCCAGCACCTCGAGGCTCTTGAACCTGCCAATAATACCATCGCCTAGTAGCTCCTCACCACCGAAATTCTTGGTGAGAATCAGCGTGGTGAGGTTCTGGCACCCACGCAACACTGTGAGTACCCCTGAGATGTTTTGGAAGTTGTTGGAGCCAAGGTCGAGCTCCTCAAGCCGCGCAAGGCCTCCAAGGGAGGTTCCTGGGATGGGCCCCACAAGGCCGCGCCTGGGGAGGCGCAGTGCCGTGACACGGCCACTGGCGGCATCACAGCTCACACCTTCCCAACTGCAGCATGTGGCGCCGAACCACGTGGCCTGGAGGAGGACACCCCCGCCGCTGAGGTTCCTAACAAAGTCCTGCAGCGCACGAAGGTCGTCGGGGTGGCACGAAGTCGCGTGCGCCTTGGGCAAGAGAAACGCCAAGAAGAAGATGGGGAGGAGCAGTAGGCAGCATTTGGCCATGGGATTCATTGAGGTCTGAGTGAGTGATTGGCAAGTGCTCTGTCTTGGTGTTGTACAAACTGCTAGGGTGATGAGTGGTGTCTTATAGGGTGTGCGTTGCAGCAAGTGGTAGTGAGTGGCCAGGCCACGTACTACAAGTAAGTGCCCGCCACACTTGATTTTGATTTTGGTGCTTGAAGATCTTTTTTTTCGATGCTTGAAGATCTTTTTCTTTTCGATGCTTGAAGATCTTATCTTAAGCTGGCCGACTACTGATGCAAGGATTTTGTTTTATCTTATATCAACTTGTTCAAACGCGTCACCTTCCTCCTAATTGAAATTATTAATGTGCGACAGAGGATGAATGTTTCTTCTCGAACAAAAAAGAGCTAGCAGGGCAAAGTCCACCGAGAGTTAGCACGTGTTTTCCGTTTAACTGAGATAGATTTAGGCTTTTATTTGTTTTGTTTTTCTCTTGGCTGTGCATTGGCGGAAACGTCTTACCCATCCAGGGTGACGTGTTGCATGTTATAAAGGCAGGGTGCGAGCCTGGTATACGCGTACAGGAGTTTGTTAGGATTACAACTTATAGAGCAAGAAGTATAAGAGATAAGAGAGATAAACTACAAAAGAGGTTACACCGAATATAGCTATGCGCCTCTACTCAATATCTCTAACCTCCTGTACATATCACGTATCATGTGTTTAACACCCTCCCTTAATCACAACTTGGTCAAGTTGAGATTATGTTTGAAGTCCTCAAAGCTTCTTACAGGCAATGCCTTTGTAAATCCATCTGCAACTTGATCTCTGGAGTGCACAAAACGAATGTCAAGTTGCTTCTGAGCAACTCTTTCTCTGACAAAATGAAAGTCAATTTCTATATGTTTGGTTCTAGCATGGAAAACTGGATTAGCAGAGAGATATGTAGCACCAAGGTTGTCACACCATAGACATGGAGCCCGTGTGGTTTTTACACCAAGTTCTTTCAACATAGACTGAACCCATATTATTTCTGCTGTAGCATTTGCCAATGCTTTGTATTCTGCCTCTGTGCTTGACCTGGAAACCGTGGCCTGTTTTCGTGCACACCAAGATATCAGGTTAGGTCCAAAGAACACAGCAAACCCACCAGTAGATCGCCTATCATCCAAACATCCTGCCCAATCTGAATCAGAAAATACACTGACAAGAGTTGAAGATGACTTGCTGAAATTTAGACCAACACTCAAGGTGTTTTTGACATATCTGACTATGCGTTTTGCAGCAGTCAAGTGAACAGTAGTGGGTGCATGAAGAAACTGACAGACCTTGTTAACTGCAAAAGAAATGTCAGGTCTAGTAAGAGTCAGATACTGCAAAGTCCCAACTAAACTTCTGTATCTTGTGCTATCCTCTTGACTCAAGAGTGTCCCTTCTGTGAGAGACAATTTTTCTGAACTGGACAGTGGAGTAGGTGAGGGTTTACAATCTTTCAAACCAGCCTTCTTTACCAGATCAGTTGCATACTTTTCCTGAGAGAGATGAAGTCCGTCTCTGTTTCTTTTTACCTCAATTCCAAGAAAGAAGTGCAAGTCTCCAAGATCCTTCAAGGCAAAATCTGCACTCAAGTCCTTTAAGAGTCCTGTGATTGCTTCAGCAGATGAGCTTGTCACAATAATGTCATCAACATATATGAGAACAAATATGCATGTGTTGGACTTGTTGTAGATGAATAACGAGGTGTCTGACTTAGAAGGAACAAAACCAAGTGTCTGCATCTTATGACAGAGACGAGAGTACCATGCCCTTGGAGCTTGCTTCAACCCATATAGTGCTTTATCAAGTTTACACACGTAAGAGGGAGCACTTTTACTTACAAACCCAGGAGGTTGCTTCATGTACACTTCCTCTTCCAGAACACCGTGGAGGAACGCGTTCTGTACATCTAGCTGTCTGAGACTCCAATCCCTAGAAACAGCAATAGACAGGACAAGACGAATGGTAGCAACTTTGACTACTGGACTAAACGTGTCCTCATAGTCTATGCCATATCTTTGTTTAAAGCCCTTTGCAACAAGTCTAGCTTTATAACGATCAATGGTTCCATCAGATTTCCTTTTAATCCTGAATACCCACTTGCAATCAATCAAGTTTTTACCTTGCTGTGGAGGAACCAAGTGCCATGTTTTATTTTTCTTCAATGCCATGTACTCTTCGTTCATAGCTTTCTTCCATCGTTCATCACCAAGTGCTTCTTCAACTGTACTTGGTTCATCTGGTTCACCTATGGAACAAATCATACCATATTTGACTATATGTTTGTAGTTCATAGGTTTCGTTACCCCTTTTTGTAGTCATGTACGACGCGGTGATGATGCAGCCAAATATGTGGCCACAGAGGATCCAGCTGCCTGCATGGAAGCTCCAGCCGAAACTGATCCCGAGGCTGATACTGTCGGTGCAGCAGCATGAGCTGTCTCGGGTGGATCTTCTGTGGCTCGTGTCGTCGCTGCCACGCCTGAGGAAGCCGCAGAGAATCCTGGCCTGTGCGCCAGCCCATCATTGCCACATGATGGCGAATCAACACCGGGCGCCGCGCCAGGGCCTGCGCCGGTGAGCGGTCCAGAGTCCGCCGCTTGTAGCATAGCGGTTGGCCGCGATAGCGCGTATCGCCTGGGCCACCCCCGCTCCGCCAGTTGGCAGAGGAGGATTGGCGCGCCGCTGGGTCCGCTGTGCAGCCAGCGAGAGGGAGCCGCGTGTCGCGCGCAGGGGTGGACGCTGCGGCGCGTGCGCCCGCAGCTGCAGCCTCGTCTACTGCGCCGGATCCTGAGGGGGATCGGATTTCCTGACTCCGCTCCGATCCCGAGGAGATCCCGTCGCCAGTTTCCTGCTGTGGCACCGATCCCAAGGAGATTTTGTCTCCTGTTTCTTGACACATGAAATAAGGGCCAGAATTTTCACCGTTTGCATTATTTTCTTCACCGATCGTCCCTATCTCAGTTCCTGTTGCATCAACATGAGCCTCATGCAGTATATTAGTGGGATTAGTCAACAAGTGATCATCAATATCGTTCCCCCTTGATCAAGGCCGGTGAGGTTTGAGGGCAAAAGAAGAATTTCTTTGCAAAGAAGCGCACCGGCGTTAGGATGAAGATCAGCAAAAGGAAACTAGGTTTCATCAAAAATGACATCCCTAGAGATGTAGACACGCCCCGTGGAGACATGTAGACATTTGACACCCTTGTGTTGGGCACTATAGCCAAGGAAGACACATTTGGTGGAACGAAACATGAGTTTTCGTTTATTGTAGTGACGTAGGTTGGGCCAACACGCGCACCCAAAAACACGAAGAGAGCTATAGTTCGGTTTTTCATGAAGAAGCCTTTCGAGTGGGGTTTCATTGTGGATAACACGACTAGGAAGCATGTTTATGAGATGAACGGCTGTGAGGAAAGCTTCATCCAAAAATTTTAGAGTCATAGATGCTCCTGCGAGGAGGGCAAGGCCAACTTCAACTATGTGGCGATGCTTGCGTTCGGCAGAACCGTTTTGCTGGTGCGCATGGGGGCATGACACGTGGTGTGAGATGCCAAGAGTTTGGAAGAAGGAATTCAATTTCTCATATTCCCCTCCCCAGTCTGACTGGACTGCAATGATTTTGCTGTCAAACTTGCGCTCAACAAGAGCTTGAAAGTTTTGAAAAACTTGAAACACTTCGGATCTATGCTTAAGAAGATAAATCCACGAGAATTTGCTATAGTCATCAATGAAGCTAACGTAATAAGAGTGTCTACCAACAGAGGTGGGAGCCGGACCCCACGCATCAGAAAATATAAGTTGCAACGGTTTGGTGGAGACACTAGTAGATATGGGGTATGGCAATTGATGACTTTTTGTTCTTTGGCATGAATCACAAATAGTTTCATTATGTCGCTCAACCACAAACGGGAGCTTATTTTTCCTAAGCAATTTTTCAACTAGAGAGAAAGAAGCATGGCCTAATCTATCATGCCACCGTGTTGATGAAAGCTTGGTAGCACCATAGACTTGTTTATTGAATCTTCTACGCACCGGGATCAACGGATAAAGCCCTCGAACACATCTACCTCGATAGAGGATTTTCTTCGTTTCCTGATCCTTAATCAAAAAGAAGTAAGGGTGAAACTCGAGGAAGACATGATTATCTAAAGCAATTCGGTGAACAGAAAGAAGACTTTTGGCGGCACTAGGAACATGCAAGATTTTCTTGAAATGAATATTGCGACTAGGGGTACTGAATATTGAATGACCAATGTGATTTATCCGCATACCTTCTCCACTGGCCGTGTGGATTTGATCCTTTCCACGGTACCTTTCCTTCATGGTCACCTTCTCAAGTTCGTTGGTGATGTGGTTGGTGGCGCCGCTATCGACATACCAGTTGGTGTCGATGCCGTAGGAGCCATCGGCCGCAGCAGCAACCTTGTCATTGTCTTGAGAGTCGTCCTCGTCCTCATCATAGTGGTACCAGCAGTCTTTGGCTG